CCAACCCTCTGCAGACAGACCGGGATGAGGACGGGGTTGGGGACGCCTGTGACAGTTGCCCTGAAATGAGCAACCCCACTCAGGTATGGTGGGGCCCGGCGGGGAATGGGGGGTCCTCAGGCAGCGCTGAACCAGGGCACTGCTCTCCTCCAGACAGATATGGACAGCGACCTGGTGGGAGACATCTGTGACACCAATGAGGACAGGTAGGGACCACACTGAGGTGGGGTCACCACCCTGCCCCATCCATTCCTGGCTTGGAGGCCTGGGAGAGGGGATGACGAGGTCTTTGGGGATGGCAATGGTGCAGGGACACGGTGCTGGGGCCCCAGTGTGCAGCACTGCTGTGACCCTGTTCTTGCTGCCAGTGATGGGGACGGGCACCAGGACACCAAGGACAACTGCGCCGAGATCCCCAACAGCTCCCAGCTGGACTCGGACAACGATGGGCTGGGGGATGACTGCGACAACGACGATGACAACGATGGCATCCCCGACTACACAGCGCCCGGCCCAGACAACTGCCGCCTCATCCCCAACCCCAACCAGAAGGACTCGGATGGTGAGGGCAGGGTGGGCCGGAGGAGGCAGAGCCACACACGGGGCTCACCCCAGCCTGACCGGGCTGTGTGTCCGCAGGGAACGGGGTGGGCGATGTGTGCGAGGAGGACTTTGACAACGACACGGTGGTGGATCAGCTCGACGTGTGCCCCGAGAGCGCCGAGGTGACGCTGACCGACTTCCGAGCCTACCAGACCGTCATCCTTGACCCCGAGGGGGATGCTCAGATCGATCCCAACTGGGTCGTCCTCAACCAGGTGTGGGTGCTGCCCCCCCGTGTTTATGGGGCCGGAGCTGGCGGGGGGGGAGCAGAGCAGGGCCCGGGGGTCCCTGGGGACGCCCCTCACCCGGCTGTCCCCATCAGGGCATGGAGATCGTGCAGACCATGAACAGTGACCCAGGCTTGGCTGTCGGTAAGAGATGCTCTCCCCCCTCTAGGCCCTGTGGGGCAGCCCCTCTGCTCCTGTCCCCCTGTGCTGGGGGGGTTCTTTGCCCCACAGAGGAGTGGAGGGAGCTGGGATGGGGGGGTCCCGTGCTGGGGGAGAGGTGTCCTGGCAGCATTTGCCTGCCTGTAGGCTACACAGCCTTCAACGGGGTGGACTTCGAGGGCACCTTCCATGTCAACACTGTCACCGACGATGACTACGCCGGCTTCATCTTCAGCTACCAGGACAGCGCCAGCTTCTACGTGGTGATGTGGAAGCAGACGGAGCAGACGTACTGGCAGGCCACCCCTTTCCGTGCTGTGGCTGAGCCGGGGCTGCAGCTCAAGGTGGGTGCTGGCCCCCCCCGGCGCCAGGTCGGGGTCCCTCCCCATTGACGCCCCCGTGCACCCACAGGCAGTGAAGTCCTCGACGGGCCCCGGGGAGCACTTGCGCAATGCACTGTGGCACACGGGCCACACACCCGACCACGTCCGCCTGCTCTGGAAGGACCCGCGCAACGTGGGCTGGAGGGACAAGACCTCCTATCGCTGGCAACTGGCCCACAGGCCCCAGGTGGGCTACATCAGGTGAGCAGGGCCTGGGGTGATGGGGTGCGGCTGCTCCGGCCATGGGACACGGGGAGGATGCTGGTGATGGGGACCGCTCCAGCCCCGGTGGGACCACAGCAGCGGGGGGATGCCCTGGGGAGGGCTCCATCCCCAGTGTGCTCCAGCTCTTGCGGGGGGAGGACGCTGTCGGTGGGGAGGAGTCCCCCCCGCTGGGACCGCGTTTCCCCTTTAAGGCTCCCGGCGGGGCGGCCGCCGCGGGGGGGCTCCGCGGGCCGGTCCTGTCCGCCCGGCCGGGCCCCCGTGGCCATTGTCCCGTCTCCATGGCGACCCCGCGGCCGCCGGAGCCTTTCACATGCAAAGCGCCCGACAAAGGCGGCGGGGCCGGGGCCGGGGGCTCCATCGCGGCCGCAGCCGGGGGGGCCCGGGCCGGGGCCCGGGGTTCAGCCTTTCCCCTCGCCGCGGGATGCCCCGTTCCCGGCCCGGTGCTCGCATCCCCCCGCGGGCCGCGATGCCCCAGCTCGGTGCCGCCGTCCCCGTGCCCCGCTCCAGCGCGGTTCGGGATGCCCCGGTGGGGTCCCGCTGAGCGGCCGGGCCGCACCGTTCCCTCGGCAGGGTCCGGCTGTACGAGGGCCCGCTGCTGGTGGCCGACTCCGGGGTGATCATCGACACCACGATGCGCGGGGGGCGGCTGGGGGTCTTCTGCTTCTCCCAGGAGAACATCATCTGGTCCAACCTGCAGTACCGCTGCAACGGTGAGCAGGGCCCCCCCGGGAGCCCCCGCTTTACCCGGCCGAGAGCCCGACGAGCATCTCCTGCAGGGGGTGGCTCGGCCCCGGTTTACCGGAGCTTTCCCCCCCCGCTGTGTCCCCGCAGACACGATCCCCGCCGACTTCGAGCCCTTCCGCCGGTTCCTGCTGCAGGGACGCGAGTGAGCGCCCGCGCCGGGCCCGGTTCCCCGCGCACCGCTCCGGCGGCACCGCTCTGGGCCCCGCTCCCGGTCAGGCCCTGCTCCGGGCCCCCCGCGGACTTTGCACTGCCGGTACCGGCGCGGCCCCCCCCGCTGCTGCTCCGGTCCCTGCCCGAAGTCTGGCCATAAAGTTTTAAGTGTTTTCTAGCCTGCGTGCCCCGTTCCTTTTGGGGGGCGGGGGGTGTCCCGGTGCCCCGAAACGGCTCTGCCCCCCCCCCGGTGCTCTCCGGTCCGGTGGTCGCGGAGGGGGGGTTGTGCCACCGGTGGCACCGGCGGAGCCCGCGGCGGCGGGAGGCCGGGACGAGTGCAATATTGGTAGGCGAGCGCACAACACTGCACCGCATCCCGGCCCTGCCGCCGCCGCGGAGGACGCGCACCGGACCCGCCGCTCGGGCCGCTCCGTGGGAACTGCGCCGGGCGCGCCGAGCCCCGGCGGCACTGCCCGGTCGCCATGGCGACGGCTGTCCCGGCAACGCTGCGGAATGTGCCTCCCCCCCCTCCCTCCCTCCTTCCTTCCCCGCTCCCGCCCGCCCGGGAGCGCGCGCGGCCGCCACCGGCCCGCCCCCCCCCCCTCACCCCGCCCCACGGCGGCGGCACCGGGCCCCGCTCTTAAAAGGGCAACGCGGAGCGCGCGGGGCTGCTCCGCCGGTACCGGTACCGGGGGCAGTGCCCGGGGCAGCGCTGCCCGATCCCGGGCCGGGGCCGCGGCGCAACCGGGGCGTGCGGGATGCGGGCGGCGCCCCCCGGTCCGTCCGGTGCGGGGCGCGGAGGGCGGGGCTGAGCCCCCACCACGCACACACAAACCCCCCCCCCCCCGGCCGCCACCGGCACCCGCGGGCTCCGGTCCCGCTCCCGGTTCCCGTCCCGGGGCGTGTCGAGAGGGCCGCGTCCGCCAGAGGGCGCCGCAGCTCAGGCGCCGCCGCGGCGGGCGGGACCCAACCGGGACCCAACCGGGACCTAACCGGGACCCAACCGGGACTTAACCGGGACCCAACCGGGACCCAACCGGCACCCAACCGGGACCCAACCGGGACTTAACCAGGACTCAGGGGGACTCAAACGGGACCCAACCGGGACCCAACCGGGACTTAACCAGGACTCAGGGGGACTCAAACGGGACCCAACCGGGACCCAACCGGGACTTAACCGGGACCCAGTGGGACCCAACCGGGACCCAACCGGGACCCAACCGGGACTTAACCGGGACCCAGTGGGACCCTACCGGGACCCAACCGGGACTTAACCGGGACCCAACCGGGACCCAGCGGGACCCAACCGGGACCCAGAGGCCCCTCGCACTTCGCCGGACCCGGCGGTCGCTGCCGCGGGGGACGGGGCCTGTTCCCCCCCCTACGGAGAGTGCTCCATCGGTTCTATCGAGGGGAACGTTGAACCGGGGGGGGGGGTCCCGGGGCAGGTGCAGAGCAGAACGCGGGGGATCAGCTCAAAACGGGGCTTTCGGGGGAGGAGGGGGTGTCCTGGGCACCCAGAGCTTGCTGCCCATCCCCTGCCGCATCCCCCCTGCCGGCCCCAGGGGAGGGCGCCCCGTTGGGACCGGGGTCCTGTCCAACCCGTGCTGAGGCGCAGGACCCCTTGGGCACCGTGGAGGGTCCCCTTCCCTCTGCTCCCCTTTGCACTGACCCCCCCCGCTCGCCGCCCGGGGCAGGGCAGGGCACCGGGGGGGGGGGCCTGGCCAAGCCGTTCCTGAAACTTGGGGCCTTCTCCGGGAATCGGGGCTCTTCCGCAGGGCAGGGGCAGGGAGGGACCAGAGCGGTTGCTGCGCCCCGGCCGTGCCAGGAGCCCGTGGCACCGGGAAGCACGGGGGCACCGGCGGCACCTCGTACCCCTGGGGTGGAGCATCAGCATCCGGCTTGGCACCGGGCATCGCCAGGGGCTGCATCCCAAGGGGGATGAGGGTCTTGCTCCTGTTGTGGCACCCAGGACCGGGGGGGGGGGGCGGGGTGTGTGCACTGGGACCTGGCAGAGAGGTTACTGGGAGGTACTGGGATTTTATGGGGCCCCGGGCCCCACCTGCGTAAGCGTTTCGGGGGGGTATCACCGGTGTTTATTTGAGTGTAGGGCGAGGCAGGGGCCGGCCGGTAATGATTAACTCTGGGCTGAGCCAGGGAATGAGCCCCCCCTGCCCGGTACTGGGGACTGGGGGGCTCTGTCCCCCCTTTGCTCCCCACCATGTTCAGGGGACCGTGGCATAGCCCATGGTGTTCATGTGGGTTTAACCCCCAAACCCCCCTCCCAGGGATCCGGGGCTGCCCCTTCCCTCTGTCCCCACCCGCGGCTCGGGGATGCCGCTGCCGGTGCCCCCCGACCCCAGGACCCAGCCCCGGCGCTCAGGATGCTGCGGGAGCCCCATCGCGCCCCGTGCTCGGTGCGAAGCGGAGCGAAGGGGACCCCCCCCCCCCCCGTATCCTCAGTGGGGCCGGCGGCGGGGTGGGGCCTCCCCTCCTGCCCCAGGTGTTTCTATAAAGCTGCCGCCAGTTCCTGCTGCCGGCACCGGAGCCGACGGCGCGCACGGGAGGGCTCCGGCGGGCCCGGACCAGCCCCATGGCCAACGCCACCCTCCTGGTCCTGCTGGTGCTGGCGCTGGGCGCAGGTGAGGGGCTGCGGGCGGGGGCACCCCGAGCCCGACGGAGCGGGGCTGGGGCCATGCAGGGCTGGAGCCGAGCCCCCGGGGCTGCTTCTGAGCCGGGACCGGGCGCCCCCCCCCCCGCACCAGCGGTGTCACCGCCGCTCCCCCTGCATCGCCCCCGGGGGTCGTGTCCCCAGCAGGGCCGGGGCACCGGGGTCTGGCACCGCCGCTGGCTCCCGCCGGCCATGTCCGTGTCGGTGTCGGTGCAGCCGGGAGCAGCCGGAGCCGGCTCTGCCCGGGGCTGGAATTCAGGCGTGTCCGGGAGCACCGGGACCAGGGGCTCCCCTCTAGCGCCTGCAGTGGGGCAGGGTGGGCACCCCCAGCAAAGGGGGCTCATGCGGGGAGGCTCTGGTTGGGTCCTGAGGTCGTGGTGGCTCCCGGTGCCCAGGGAGCATCCAGCCAAGGAGCCGCGTTGGGTAAATCACTCCCAGCCACCGACTCCTGGTGTTTTCCTTTAGGTACCGGTGCCATGACCACCACCACCGAGAGCACCACAGAGACCACCACCACCGACACAACCACCACAGAGACAACCACGACCACCACGGAGATGACCACTGAGACGACCACCACCACCCCCATGACCACCACCCCGAACATCACCATCACAAGCAGCAATGGGACACAACCACCCCCTGCTACAGCCTTCCCCAGCACGAGCAACACCACAAGCTTCCAGTCCAACACCACCACTGCCAACAGCACCATGGATCCTGCCCTGGTCAGCTCTGCCACCCCCTACACCAACACCACCACAAACAGCAGCAGCTCGGTCCCCACCTTCAGCATCAACACCAGCACCGTGGGTCCCATCTCTGCCACCAACACAACCACCATCAGCACCATGGGTCCCATCTCTGCCACCAACACAACCAACAGCAGCACCACGGCTCCCACCATTGCCACCAACACAACCACCATCAGCACCACGGGTCCCATCTCTGCCACCAACACAACCAAGAGCAGCGATGCAGCTCCCACCATTGCCACCAATACAACCAACAGCAGCACCACAGCTCCCACCATTGCCACCAACACAACCAACAGCAGCACCACGGCTCCCACCATTGCCACCAACACAACCAAGAGCAGCGCTGCAGCTCCCACCCCTGGCACGGGCAGTGCCACGGTGATTCTCACCTCCAGCACCAAAAGCAGCAGCACCCGGCCCGTCCCCACGCACACAACCTCTGTCACGGCCCCTGCGGTGGCACCGGGCGGCAGCGCCGGTCCCAGCCCCAATGCAGCCACCGCGGTGCAGCTTCTGCTCAGCATCCCCCTGTCCTTCCGCATCCTCAACAGGAGCTTCAACGAGAGCCTGCGCAGCCCCGGGTCAGAGCAGTACCGGGGCCTGAGCCGCACCGTGCTGGACATGGTGAGCCCTGGAGCAAAGCCCCTGGTTCTGTGCCCTCTGCAAGTGTCCCCGGTACCCTCTTCAGCAGCACCAGTGCCGTGATGGGGAGCACCGAGGGGATGGGATGGGGTGGAGGGATGGATGGATGGAGGGGGGATGGATGGAGGGAGGGATGGATGGATGGATGGATGGATGGATGGATGGAGGAGGGATGGATGGATGGATGGAGGAGGGATGGATGGATGGATGGATGGGTGGATGGATGGATTGGTGGATGGATGGAGGAGGGATGGATGGATGGATGGATGGGTGGATGGATGGATTGGTGGATGGATGGAGGAGGGATGGGGTCTCCATCACCCTCATGCTCTGTTCCAGTTTGACCGTGTCTATGGCAGTGGGCAGAGCTACAAGGGATGCAGTGAGCTCCGTTTCAGGTGAGTGGGGCTGCACCGCGCAGAGCCCCTGGTGCTGGGCACCACCCGGGCACTAACACTTCTCCCATGGGCAGCCAAGGCTCCGTGGCCGTGCAGTCCACCCTCGTGTTTGGCCAGGACAACGCCATCATCTCCAGCACCGCTGCTGAGCAGCAGCTCAGGAACAGCCTGGACCAGAACGGCTTCATCATGGGCCTGCAGCTGGATGACATCTCGAGTGAGCAGAGCTTTGGGGTGGGGATGGGAGGGACGATGGAGCCCCATGGGGGTGCTTTGGGGGTCTCCCTGGTGGTGGGTGCAGCCTGCAGAGCCCATGCAGGTTCCCAGTGCTCTGGGAACACCAACTGGACCCAGTGGAGGAGGCCCCGTCCTGGAGGTCTCTCAGGGCTGTTGGTCCTGGCCAGCCCCATGGCTCTGCCCCAGTGCAGACACAGCTCTGCTCCTCTTTCAGGCAACACAGAGGGGATGTCCCCAGCACCGGTGCCAGGCTGGGCCATTGCTCTGCTGGTCCTGGTCTGCATCCTGCTGCTGCTGAGCATCCTCTCCTGCCTCCTGCTGGTGAGTCCCCATCCCCGTTGGGTCCCTGTCCCCATTCCGGTGCCATCACCCCCTCACCCCATCCCTGTGCCCCCAGGCCATCTGCGCCTGCCGCCGGAAGACCCGTGGGAAGCTGGACCTGTTCAGCACAAAGGATTCCTACCACCCCATGGCCGAGTACCTGCAGTACCAGAGCCACGGGCGCTACATGGCCCCCAGCAGCAAACCCAACCCCTACAGCCAGGTGAGTGCCCCGCTCCGGCGGCACCCGGCAGCTCCCATGGCCGCTGGTTAATGGCTAACGGAGCCGGCCCTGGCACCGCCGAGGTAACTTTCACGCCTGGATGGAGCAGCGGCACTGGTGCTGGCGGCCCCGGCCCCGGGGAGCTCCACAGCCCCCGTTGGCTGCTGCTGCTCTGCCCCTTCCCAAGGGCCGTGTCCCAGCCAGAGCCTCGCAGGTGCTGGTGTGAGGGCATCCTCCTGCATGGATGGGGAATGGGCTTGGCTGGGTACCAAGCACCTGTAACCAGCACCACATAGCCTGCACCCCGTATCCTGCGCCTTGCACCCTGCATCCTATATCCTGCACCCCATAGCCTGCACCCCATATCCTGTGCCTTGTACCCTGCACCCCATAACCTGCACCCCATATCCTGCGCCTTGCACCTAGCAGCAAGTAACTTGCACCCCATATCCTGCGCCTTGCACACTGCACCCCATATCCTGCACCTTGCACCCTGCACTCCATATGCTGCACCCCATATCCTGCACCCCATAACCTGTGCCTTGCACCCTGCATCCCATAACCTGCACCCCATAACCTGCACCCCATATCCTGCATCCCATAACCTACATCCCATAACCTGCACCCCATAACCTGCACCCCATCTCCTGCACCTTGCACCCAGCACCATGTATCCTGCACCCCATCTCCTGCACCAGAAGCCCTGTGAGCAGAGCTGCAGGACAGTGCCGGGAGCTGCCCGCACACACAAGCCCCAGCTCCCCTGAGCAATACGGGGTGCAGGGCCCCCCCCTGCTCTGCCCATGCACTGGTGCTGCTGCAGGAGCCGCATCCAGCCCCGTGGCCCCATCGAGCAGCTCCCCCTGAGCAAACACTAGGGGCCTGGGTAAATATTTACCCTGGCTCTGCCTGGGCTGGGCTTATCGGGCAGGAAGAGGGACACGGCCAGGGCCAGGGCACGGCTCCTGCGCCCATGGGGGTCACGGTGGGCTCAGGGTGCCCATAGGCAGCTGTGGGTGCCCACAGTGCAGGATGGGAGGGGGGGGACACGCGTTTGGGCTGACCCCGTGCTGATGGGGGGGGTCCGGCTCATTGCAGGTCGCCGGCAGCAACGGCGCGGGGACCGGCACCTTCACCTACACCAACCCTTCCGCTACCTCCGACAACCTCTGAGGGACACCGGGATGCGCAAGGAGAGGGCTCGGGAAGGGAGGGGGGGACTTGGATCCCCGTCCTGTCCCCCCCCCACGGGCAGCAGGAGCCGGGTGGTTCTGGAGCAGCCGGATTCCTGCGCATGACAGAACTGGATGGACAGGGACTGGGATCCAGGCTGGGATGGGGGGGTCCCTGCGCCCCCGGGTCCTGAACGCGCTTGGCTTTGCACCAAGGGATGTGGGGGGGTCCCGGCTCCTGCACCCCCCCCCTCCATTCCCCCTTCAATCCAATGGCTCTTTTGGGGTGTTATTTTATACAAATACATCTGTGTCTGTGGGATGCGGGCTCCAGGCTCTGCTCGGGGGGGGGTCCTGCGGGTGCTGGGACGGGGATGCCCCGCACTCCCGTCCCTGTCCCTGTCCCTGCCCCGCACGGCTGCAGGCGCTGTGCCCCCGGGTCCCTCCCGGTTTCTATCGCATGAGCAAACACGAACTGTTCGGCACAACCGGTTCCGCCGCGTCACGCAAAGGTGACGATGGGAAAGGTAACCCAGGGGCCATAAACCGTGAGCCGGGTGCGAGCGCGGCCGGGCCCGCTCCAAACCCCGCCTGGTCCAGGTCTGGGGTGCTCCAAACCCAGAGAGGGCTTTGGAGAGGAGCGGGATGGAGCAGTGGGGAGGGCGGTGGAAGGAGGACCTGGCCTGCTTGCCATGGGGCAGGGAGTGGGGCACGGACGGGGGGGGGCAGCCCCACTTTGGGGCTAGGCGCTGGGAGGGTTTTGGCAGCCACTGGAACAGCAGAACGAGGAAACAACCTTCCCCAATGTGATCCCTTGTGCAGGTGGGCACGGGGCCGGGGGGGGCCCTGCCCTGCGGAGGTGATGGCACAAGCCCCAAGGCTATAGGGGGGATGTAAGGGGGTGTCTCTGCTGCTTCTGGTTCTCCCTGTGCCGTGCTGATAACCGGAGTTGCCAACAGCAACAGCGGGGGGAAGGGGATGGATGGGGATGGGGGGGCAGCAGGGGGGGGGCACTGGGGAGCGGCACAGGAGGAGCCCCCGGGTGTGGGGATGAGGGGGGCACAAGGGCAGCACCGAGGGTGGCAGCCCCAGAGCCGCGCACCGAGGGCACGGGGCGGGTCCCGTTCCCCCGCCACCCCCCCCCCCCGAAACCGTTCCGGCCCTGGGTAGGGCGCGCAGAAATCGAAACCGGGCACAAAGCGGCGCTTGTTCACAGGGAGCCGGCCCCGACGGCGCGGCCAGCGAGGGACCGCGGCCCCTCCTGGAGCGGTGCTGCCGCAGGTACCCGGGATGTGGGGCCAGCCCCTGTTACCACCCCGAAGGATGCCCCAGTGCCGTCCCCCCCTCCCGGGCTGGACCCATGTCCCCACCCTGGGCTTGTGCAGGGAGACGGTGCTGGAGTGCCCCGATACCACGGGGATGGGCAGCAGCGGCCACGCGGCCGGGCAGGGACCGGACACGTCAGCACTGCCTGAGCCCTGCCCTGGGCAGGATTAGGCCATGCTGGCCACAGCCCCAAGGCCGGCTCAGCCCCACAGCCCTGCGGGGCGGCTCAGGAGGAGTCTGGCGTTGCAGTTTATTGTAGGAAACCATGAAAATACAGCGACTGGAACAGAACCCAAGAGAAACGACAGCAGCTCAGATGGATCCCAGTGCAGGAGCACCGGTGCAGGAGCACCAGTGCAGGAGCACCCGTGCAGCATCGCCGGTGCGGGATCACCGGTGTGGGATCCCCGTCCGGGCCGGATGCTGACCCCACTGCCATTAACAGGGGCCCAGTGTGTCCCTGCGGAGCACGTGCAGGCAGGGCCCCAAGCATGGAGCTCCTTGGGGAGCCATAGGACACACTGCAGCCCCCCAGCAGAGCAGGGGACACCCCCGGTGGCTGTGCCCAGGGCAGCCACATTGAACATGAGCCATTATAAAACAAGTCTCCACCACCTTGGTCCAACCCAGCCCCCCCATTGCCCCCCAACCCGGCTGCCTCCCCCACCCCATCGGCGCACCCCCCACCGTCACCCCACTGTCACCTGCGGTCCCCCCTCCCTGCACAGCCCCGTGTCCCGCTCACACCCCCCTCCCTGCTCCATCTCCAGGGCTCAGCCCTGCCCACAGCCTTGAGCCGAGCTGGGAACGGGGCCTGCAGAGAGGGAGAGGAGGGGATGGCAGCGCTGTCCCTGTCCCCCCTGTCCCCCAAGTCCCACTCCCGGCCTGTTCCCAGCGGCAGGGCCCCCCCCCGCGCTCTGCACCCCCAGCCCCGGCGCTCAGCGCAGCTCAGTCCAGTTTGGCGAAGCCCCCGATGGTCACTTTGCGCTCCTGTTTGTTGGCCACCAGCTCCTGGAGGTGCAGGGCCCCGCCGCCGATGAAGCAGAAGGCCGGGCAGACGGGCCCGGAGCAGTCCACGCCGCACTCCCAGAGCTCGCGGAAGGAGACGGCGTCGTAGAAGCTCACCTTGCCCTGCTCGTAGTCCAGGCAGACGCCGATGCGCGGGGGCAAGGGCACGGTGCAGCCGTTGGGGTCGCGGGAGGTGAGCGCCGCGCCGTGCGACAGCAGGATCTTGCCCATGCCGATGGTGAGGAAGGCGTAGGGAGGGGGGGCCTCCACCGTCGTGTCCTCTGCTCCGCTGTCGTGGCCGCTGTCGGGGTCGTACCTGCGGCAAGGGGACGGGTGAGGGACGATGCGGGGGCTCCCCTCAGCACCCCCATAGCCGGGAGGGCACCAGCGCTCACCTGGGGCTCACCACATCCTGCGGCACCTGGAACCACTCCTGGAGCTTGCTCTCCAGCCCCACTCCCACCTTGACCAGGTAGGAGCTGGGGTCCACGCAGCAGGCCCAGTAGCTCTTGCCCTGCGTGATGGCCACGTCGCCGATGACCAGGTCGATGGAGAGGTGGCAGCTGGTCATGAGGCGCTCGGCTGCGAAGAGCATGGGGATGCCGGGCACGCTGCGCACGGCGCGCTGGTCCTTGCTGATGGCCAGGCGGTCCCGGTTGAAGCCCCAGCGGTTGTCCAGGAAGAAGTTGAGGACTGCAGGAGGCAGGAGGAAGGGTGAGGAGGGAAGGGGGGGAACACAAAGGGGCGGCCCCGAGCCCTGGGCCCGTCTCACCTGGGGCGGGCGGCGTGTGCAGGTAGATGTCCTCGCTGTACTCCCCAAAGCCCGCCTTGTTGCAGCCCTTCACCCGCAGCACGTACACGCTGTCCGTGTCCAGGTACTCCACGAGGGCGCTGGTGCCGCGCACCTCCTCGCGCCGCTGCCACAGCTTCAGCCCCTTGGCCTTGGCGTCCGTCTTGCGGTACTCCACCGTGTAGTGCCAGGCGGGCGGCGAGTGCTGCGGCAGCCGCCAGCACAGGAAGATGTGGTCGTAGGCGTAGGTGCGCTGCGTGTCGATGACGGGGGCCTCGGGGGCTGTGGGGAAAGGCACCGGCGGGCATCAGGCAGCATCCACCCCCCCCCGGCGGGAGGGGAGGCGGCAGCCGCAGGGAAGGGGCGCTCTGGACGGACGCACGGACGCACAACCAGGAGTCTAAAGGGATCTGACTGCAGAGACCGCGTGGAGGCACCAGAGAGGAGCGAGAGTCGGGGAGACAGAGGAGCTGCTGCTGTGGGGCTGCGGGGACCAGACAGGCTGAGTGCAAGTCGGGAGGGAGGAAAGAGAGAAAGAGAAGAGAGGATGGAGGTAGCGGGAGAGGAGGAGATGAGGGTGGGGGGGTGAGGGTGCCAGCGGCACAGTGGGAGCAGAGACAGGGGAGATGAGGGGATGGCGGGGGGAAGTGGGATGAGGAAGGGGGTGGAAATGGGGTGAGAAGGGGACAGAAATGGGGTGAAGGGGGGATGGAAAGCAGGTAAAAGGTGGGACGGAAATGGGGCATGAGAGGGACAGAAATGGGGCAAGGAGTGGATGGAAATGGGGTGAGAAGGTGGTGGGAGGGCAGGAGCAGCAGCAGCAGATGGAGGAGTGGGGCAGAGCCACTGCCTACCACTACCATGGGGCAGGAAGGGGATGGGGGATGACAGAGGAGCAGGACGGGGATGGAGGATGGCAGCAGAGCAGGATGGGGATGGAGGATGGCAGCAGGGATGGGGCAGGAAGGGGATGGAGGATGGCAGAGAAGCAGGGTGGGGATGGAGGATGGCAGCAGGGATGGGGCAGGAAGGGGATGGAGGATGGCAGCGGAGCAGGACGGGGATGGAGGATGGCAGCAGGGATGGGGCAGGAAGGGGATGGAGGATGGCAGCAGAGCAGGATGGGGATGGAGGATGGCAGCAGGGATGGGGCAGGAAGGGGATGGAGGATGGCAGAGAAGCAGGGTGGGGATGGAGGATGGCAGCAGGGATGGGGCAGGAAGGGGATGGAGGATGGCAGCAGGGATGGGGCAGGACGGGGCTGGAGGATGGCAGCAGGGATGGGGCAGGAAGGGGATGGAGGATGGCAGCAGGGATGGGGCAGGAAGGGGATGGAGGATGGCAGCAGGGATGGGGCAGGAAGGGGCTGGAGGATGGCAGCAGGGATGGGGCAGGACGGGGCTGGAGGATGGCAGCAGGGATGGGGCAGGACGGGGATGGAGGATGGCAGCAGGGATGGGGCAGGAAGGGGATGGAGGTGGGCAGTGGGGCTGGAGGATGGCAGCGGAGCAGGACGGGGATGGAGGATGGCAGCAGGGATGGGGCAGGATGAGGCTGGAGGATGGCAGCAGAGCAGGACGGGGCTGGAGGATGGCAGCAGGGATGGGGCAGGATGAGGCTGGAGGATGGCAGCGGAGCAGGACGGGGCTGGAGGATGGCAGCAGGGATGGGGCAGGATGAGGCTGGAGGATGGCAGCGGAGCAGGACGGGGATGGAGGATGGCAGCAGGGATGGGGCAGGATGAGGCTGGAGGATGGCAGCAGGGATGGGGCAGGACGGGGCTGGAGGATGGCAGCGGAGCAGGACGGGGCTGGAGGATGGCAGCAGGGATGGGGCAGAGTGGGGATGGAAGATGACAGAGGAGAGAGGATGGGGCTGGAGGGATGGGACAGAGAGAGCGGGCGGGCTCTGGGGCAGGGATGTGACTTGCCTCAGTTACTTCAGTGTCGAGCCGGCAGCGGGCGCAGCCTATAAACAAAGAGAGGTAGAAGCAGGTCTGAAAAGTGCCGCCGAGGTGCGGCAGGGCCCCGCGGCTCCTGCCCGGGGGGGAAGCGCTGCCCTGGCCGCGGTGCAGCCGCCGTCCGTACTCACCCTCCGGCGCCGCTGCTGCCCTTAGGTGGCACCAGAGCCCTGCCTGTGCACGGGGCGGAGGGGGGGGGTCTGGGGGCTGGAGGGGCTGTCCCTGACGGGGAGGGGGGAGCAGCAGACCCGCGAGCGGCCGTGGCCGAGGGGCTGCACCTCCGCATGGGCACAGCCGGTGCCCGGCGCTGCTGCCGTTACCTCGGATGAAGGCCAGGTCCGAGAGCAGCTTCAGCTCCCTGCTGACGTCCAGCTGGAAGTGGCTGAAGGAGGCGGTGGCCGCAGGACGGAAGCTCTGCAGCGAGTCGGTGGCCCTGAGGATCCTGCAGCACCGGAGAGCCGGCTCTCAGTCAGCAAGCAGCTGAGCATGAGCGTGCCAGAGCCCAGAGCCCCCCCATGTGCTGGGATCCTGACCCCCCGCAGCACTGGGTGCAGCCCTGCAGCCTGGGATCACAGTATCCCAGTATGTTAGAGATTGGGAGGGACCCCATAAGCTCATCCAGTCCAATCCCCCTGCAGAGCAGGAACACCCAGATAAGGTTACACAAGGATGCATCCAGGCGGGTTTTGAATGCCTCCAGAGAAGGAGACTCCACAGCCTCCCTGGGCAGCCTGGGCCAGTGTTCTGTCACCTCACTGAGAAGGAGTTTAAGTGGAACCTCTTGTGTTCCAGTTTGTACCCATTGCCCCTTGTCCTATCATTGTTTGCCACTGAGAAGAGCCTGGCTCCATCCTCGGGACACTCCCCCTTTATATATTTATATACACTAATAAGGTCACCCCTCAGTCTCCTCTCTCCAAACTATAGAGACCCAGCTCCCTCAGTCTCTCCTCATAAGGGAGATGCTCCACTCCCTTCATCATCTCAGTTGCCCTGCGCTGGACTCTCTCCAGCAGGTCCCTGTCCTTCTGGAACTGAGGGGCCCAGAACTGGACCCAATATTCCAGATGGGGTCTCACCAGGGCAGAGTAGAGGGGAAAGGGGACCTCTCTGGACCTACTGACCACCCCCCTTCTAATGCACCCCAGGATGCCATTGGCCTTCTTGGCCACAAGGACACAGTGTCGGCTCATGGTCACCCTGTTGTTCACTAGGACCCCAGGTCCCTCTCCCCTACACTGCTCTCTAACAGGTCGCTCCCCAACCTATACTGGATGCTCACCCTGCCTTGGGCACGGCGGTGCCCTGCGTGCCTGCAGCCCCGTACCTGTTGTGCAGCTGCTTGGCAGCCTGGACGAAGCAGGGCTGGTCGGTCTCCTTGAGCACCTCCTGGGCATAGCCCACCATGCCCGAGTTCTCCAGCATGGCCTGGTGCTCCTGGATCTGGCCGTGCAGGCTGGCCAGCCGCTCCTGCTGGCACTCCTCGATGGCCTGCAGCAGGGTGGCCCGCTTCTCCTCCAGCAGGGAGCACAGCCCCTGGATCAGCTGCGACACCTCCTCCTTGGCCTGCGAGCCATTCACCTGCCCACAACAGGGGGGGAGCTCGCTGCATGCCCCAGGGCTGAGCCCAGGGAGAGCCTGGGCACCGCAGCACCCTCCACCCTCACCTCTGTGTGCTTCACCGTCTCCTCCAGCTCGGCAATCTGGGTCTGCACCGTGTCCTGGCTGCTCAGGATGTAGGCGAGGCTCTTTGTCAGCTTCTCCTGCAGGCAGGGAGGGAGGGGATGGGAGGCGCTGGCAGCTCCCATCCCCCCCATGGGGTGACCCCAATTCCCCCCCATCCCTGCCCCGGCAGCTCTTACCCTGAGGGCCTGGTAGGCGCTGAGCACGGGGGTGATCTTGTGGCTGGTGTGAGTGCGCCGCACGCGGCAGAGCTGGCACACCAGGCGCTGGCACGTCTTGCAGTAGTGAGTCACCTCCTCCTTGTGCTCCGGGCACATCAGCCCCTGTGTGTGGCCATAGGGGAGCCCAGTGGGGCGCTGAACCCCCCCCCCCCCCAAACCCTCAGCACCCCAAAGGAGCAGGGAAGGAGCCGGTACCTTGGGGCGGAAGGTGAGGGTGGGCGGCGTGGGCTCGTGCTGGGCTTTCTGCGTGCCCCAGGGGTGGTAGAGCTTGAAGCACTCGTTGCAGAAGCTGGACTTGCACTCGGTGCAGCCCTTGGTGGCCTCCAGCTGCGGGGGCTTGCAGAACTGGCACATGATGGCAGCGCTGATGTTGATGGTCTGCCGGTAGCGCTCCACCACCCGCTCCAGCGTCAGGTTGCGGAAGAGGCTGCCCAGGCCCCGCTCGCCCAGGTCCACGTCCCGCCGGCACGCGGGGCATGGGAAGCTCACGCTCTGTGGGTGCACCGGGCCCCGCTTGCGCCCGGGGTAGGTGCCGAAGCCTGCGGGGGTGATGTGGGGAGGGGCATCAGGCTGGGGGGTGGGGGGGCAGCACCCCCGGTGCCATCCCCGTGCCCTCTGGTCCCTCACCTGACTTGAGGAGGCGGTCGAGGCGGTCGGGCTTGGGCACAGCGCGGCGGCCCAGGCGGGGGCTGCGGGTGGCCGGGGTGGCGGCGGGCGAGGAGGGCTCGGAGGTGGGGTCGCAGCAGAGGTACCCGTGCTGCAGCAGCACCTCGCTGGCGCACACGTGGCAGACGTTGTGCATGCAGGGCAGCGCCAGAGGCTGCTTGTACATCTCCTTGCACACCGGGCACACCAGCTCCCGCTCCATGTTCTTCATGCTGGTCTGCGGAGAGAGCGGGCAGCGTCACTGGCTGGGGCTGGGAGCAGCAGCAGGGACAGGGTAAGGAGCAGCACTGGGAGCAGCAGCAGGATGGGGACCAGGGTTATGGCTGGGATGGGGGCTGGCATCAGGGCCACAGTCAGGACCAGCAGTGGGACCAGAGGCAGGACCAACCCCAAGTGTGTGAGCAGGGCTGGGAGCAGCACCGGGGCCTGGAGAAGGGCTGGGGCCAGCACCAGGGGCAGGACTGGGACTGGGATGGGGGATGGGACCAGCACCAGGATCAGGCCCAGCACCAGGGCCAGGATCAGGCCTGGACCAGCACCAGGATGGGCCCCAGGGCTGGGATGGGGATGGGGCTGGGGCTGGGGCCGGCCACGATGGGCACCGGCAGCGCGCCCAGAGCCAGGCCCGCGATGGGGAGGGGGGGTCCGGATGCTTGGGGTCGCGGTTCCAGACCCCCCCAGGGCAGCGCCGCCGCCCCGCTCGGCCCCCATCGCGCCCCGCCGCGTTGCCATGGCGACGCCAGGCCCGGGGGAGCGCGGCCAGGCCCGGCCGCCCCGCGGTGCCCCCCTCCCGCCGCCGCCGCCGCCGCCGCTCACGCTGATGCGGACGAGCGCGTCCATGATGGAGGTGAAGGTCTGCAGGTCCTCGCCCTCGGCCATGGCTCCGCGCCCGCTCCCGGCGCCGGTCCCCGCGGCGGCAGCAGCGGACACCGCGCTCTGTTGCAGGGAGCGGCGGAGCCGAAGGGGAGGGCGGGGGGCGGTGGCGCGCATGCTCAGCAGGACCGGGAGCTGAGGCGGTGGAGGGGGGGGGCGGCTGCACCGGGAGGCTCCCGCAGCGGCCCCGGGCACCCCGGGGCGGGTTCGGTGCTCGGAGCCTGTGCAACCGGTACCGGGGCTGGCAGCGGGGAACGCGGGGGGAAACGGCGGCGCCTCTCCCCGCCGCCAGGGGGCGCCGCCACCCCGCGCCCGGACGCCAGGGGGCAGCAGCGGGGCGGGGCCTCCCGGCACAGGCGCAGTGCGCGGAGCGGCGACACCGGCACGGCACCGGGGGGACGCCGCGGGGCACTATGGGTAACGGCGGCGAACGGGACGTGGGGAGGGCACCGGTAGTGATGGGGGGATGCTGCGGGAAGGGGGGGGCTCGGTCCCGGTGTCCCCGCTGAGGCGCTTTCCCCCCCTCCGGTCGCAGCCGTCGGCACGGGCACGTCGCTGGCGCTGTCGTCGCTGCTGTCGCTGCTGCTGTTCGCCGGGATGCAGATGTACAGCCGGCAGCTCGCCTCCACCGAGTGGCTGACGATCCAGGGCGGGCTGCTGGGCTCCGCGCTCTTCGTCTGCTCCCTCACCGTATCCTTTGCACCGGGTGGGCTGGGGGGAGGCTGCGGCGCCTCCTCGGTACGGCCCCGGTACGGTCCTTAACCCCCAGCCAGGCCTTCAATAACCTCGAGAACCTCGTCTTCGGCAAGGGCTTCCAGGCCAAGATATTCCCGGAGAGTGAGTGCAAAGGGACCGGGGTCAGCGGGGGCCGTGGGGAGGGGTTTGGGGGGGTCCCTGCTCTGCCCTTGGGGCCGGAGGGCGCTGCTGCAGCCCGGGCCCCCTGCGCTGGGGCTGCATCGCTCCCTCCTGCTCTTCCCGCAGTCCTCACCTGCCTCTTGCTGGCTCTCTTCGCCTCCGGCCTCATTCACCGCGTCTGTGTGACCACTTGGTAAGTGCGGACCCGGCTCGGGAGGGTGAGGAGGAGGGACAGGGACCCGCAGTGGGATGGAGGGGGAAGGTTGCTTCATCCCCACGTGTTACTGCCTGAGCACTCTTATCTCTTCTTCCCCCACAGCCTCATCTTCTCCATGGTCGGCCTCTACTACATCAACAAGATCTCCTCCACTCTCTACCAGTCTGCAGCGCCCATCGCCGCCCCCGCCAAGGCCGTTGGCAAAGGCAGGAAGAGGAATTGATGTCCTGCAGCCCGCTCCTGCCAGGCCCAATAAAGCCATTTCTTTGTAGCTCCGTGTCTGCGGCGGTGGCTTCGGTTCCTCTGCCCGGGGCCGGAGACGGGTCCCACTCAGGCTGCGGCCGGTTCCTTGCTCACCGGTGGGGGGGGCACGCTCCATCCGCTGGCACGGCCATTGGGAACAAAGGGGCCGTGGGAAGGCTGTGGGCGCTGGGAGGACCGGCAGGCCCCGCTCCCACGCCAGCCCCGCGACCGGACGCGGCGGAAGCCAGGTGCTTCCTGCGGCACCGGGGGGGGGAACGGGAGAGGGAACGGAGGGGGGGGTGTGGAGGTCACCCGCCCCGCCGCCAGGGGGCGCTGCACGGGCCTGACGCTCTGCAGGCGTTAAGCGACGTGGCGCTGCTCTGAACTACAACTCCCAGCGGCCCCCGCGCGGCGGCGCAGCTGTGACGTCACCTTGGAGACGGAAAGAGCGCGGGCCCCGGGACTGACGGAGCCGGTACCGGAGGCGGGGAGGGCCCGGGGCGGCGGGGCCGGGGCTCGGGGCGGGCTCTCACGGGCGCTCTCCCCGCAGGCCGCCATGACCAAGCTGGGGCAGTGGCTGTGCGGACTCGTGCTGCTGGGTTCCGCCTGGGCCGCGCTGGCGCTGGCGCCGCCGGGGCTGCGGTTACCGGAGCCGTTCCGCCAGGCCCTGTTGCCGCTGCCGGTCTACCTGCTGGTGGCCTTCGGCTGCTACTCGCTGGCCACCGTGGGCTTCCGCCTCGCCACCTTCAACGACTGCGAAGAGGCGGCGGCCGAGCTGCGGGAGCACATCCGTGCGGCGCGGGCGGACCTGGCCCGGCGCGGCCTGCGCTTCTAAGCTCAATAAACGGCGCGGACCGGGGGCTCCCGGGAGGCTTCGGGGCCCGGCTCCGCGGCCGGGAACGGCCCCAGCCTCTGCAGCGCGGAGCGGCCGGGGCCGTGCCCGCAGCACCCGGGGGGGCTCAGCCCCGCTCGGAGGCCGCTGCGCGGTGCCTCATGCCGGGAGCGGCCTCCCCACCCCTCGCGTTCCAGCCTTAGGCCTCTCTCTTGTGCTTAATGAGCGGTGCTGGCACGGGGCGGCAGCGCGGGGGGTAATTAACAGGAGGAGTTAATGAGCTCCTTCCGGCGCGGAGCGGGGGGGGGGCAGGGACCACAGGGCAGGAGCTGCGGCTGCTGGGGGCTGCTCACGGCGCCCTATGAGCTACTCGTGGCCCTCCATGGACTGCTTATGGCCCGTCATGGCCCTCCATGGGCTGCTCACAGTCCCCTATGGGCTACTCACAGCCCCCCATGGGCTGCTCATGGCCCCCATGGGCTACTCAGGCTCCTCCATGAGGTGCTTACAGCCCCCTGTGGGCTACTCAGGGTCCTCCATGAGGTGCTTACAGCCCCCTGTGGGCTACTCAGGGTCCTCCATGAGCTATTCACAGCCCCCTATGGGCTACTCAGGGTCTTCCATGGGCTACTCACAGCCCCCTATGAGCTACTCAGGGTCTTCCGTGCGCTCGTCACCCCGCACACGGGGGGTGGCAAACTCTCCCTGTTGGCTACGGCTCCATCCTCGCCATGGGGCCACGTCCCGGTGCTCCCAACCCACGCAGCCTGGAGCCACCCGGAGCCCAGCCTCTGCTCCCGCTCCTCCCAGTCCTGCTCCCAGTCCCGCTCCTGTCCTGCTCCGTCCGTGTTGACTTTTCCCAGGCCACGCACAAGGTGTGAACCAGCGCTCGCTCCTCACCGTCACCGCTTCCTTGATCCGCCTGCGTCACCTCCCTTAATCCTGCCCCGGGGGGGGGTCTCCTGCCCCATAGGGGTCTCTCCTGCCCCATGGGGGGTGTTTGCTGTCCCCTTTCCCAAGGCTGCCGTGGCTCTTGTGTAATTGGCACCCAAGCACGCTCCTGGCCCCTTGCTCCTGCATTTCCCTGGTGGCTTCATTCCAGGTCATTGTTCAGCGACTTTGGGTCCACGCCAACGTGTTCAAGCCCCAGAGGCCTTTTCCGTCCCCATTGTGACCAATGGCCCCAGGCTGCTGCTCCGGGAGGGGGAGGGGGTCAGTGCCACTATCCCCTGGGTCCCATCCATCGCTGATGGGGTCGGTGGGAAGATCCCCCCAGCCCCCCACCAAGGCAAGGACCAAACCCGGCACCGGGAAGTCTCTGATTTATTCAAGGCACTTGAATGGGTACAAAATGGGGCTTCCCGGCAGCCCCAGACAGCTCCGGGCATGGAAGACTGTCCCATGGGATAGGTGGGAGCCTGGGGGATGCTCCTGGCACCCCAAAGGCATCGCTGAGCTGGGGGGACGCTGGTGAGGAAGAACCTCAGGGGCAGGAGGTGGCTCCGGGTGCTCAGCACTGGAACTGGGCCCTGCTGGAGCAGGATGGGACGGGGGGGGGGTCCTTCATGGTCCGGTGCCCTCAGGCAGGGAGGGCTCTGTGGGGCTTGTCCCGATACCGCCAGAAGAGCCAGAACCTCAGGACGCTGGTGATGATCCCCGGCACGTTGGGGACCTGCGGGATGGGGGGAGCGGGTCCGGATCCACCCGCGGGATGGGGGGAGCGGGTCCGGATCCACCCGCGGGATGGGGGGGAGCGGGTCCGGATCCACGCAGCTCCTGGTGCTGCCGGGGGGGATTTATTGGCCTTATAGCACTTAATTAATGGGAATTGATCCTTGTGTCCCTGAGCCAGGCACGGGCTCTGCCATGTGACAGAGCGGGGTCAGCCCAGTGCCACCGCTGGGCTGAGCACCATGGGATGGAATGGGAAAGGATGGGATGAGACATGAGATAGGTTGGGATGGGATGGAATGAGATGGGGCAAAATGGGCCAGGATGGGATGAGATGAGGCACAAGATAGGATGGGATAGGGTAGGATGGGATGGGATGAGAGTGGATGGGATGGGATGAGAGGGGACAAAATGGGATGGGACAGGATGGAATGGGATTGGATGGGATGGGATAAGAGGGGAAAGGATGGAATGGGCTGATGGGATGGAATGAGATTGGGCAAAATGGGATGAGATGAGGCACAAGACAGAATGGGATAGTGGGATAGGATAGGATGGGATGAGAGGGGACAAGATGGGATGGGACAGGATGGAATGGTATTGGGTGGGATGGGAAAGGATGGAATGGGATAATGGGATGGGATGGAATGAGATGGGGCAAAATGGGACAGGATGGGATGAGATGAGAGGGGACAAGATGGGATGGGATTGGATGGGATGGGATGAGAGGGGAAAGGATGGAATAGGATAATGGGATGGAATGAGATGGGGCAAAATGGGACAGAATGGGATGAGAGGAGACACAAGACAGAATGGGATAGGATGGGATGGGATGAGAGGGGACAAGATGGGATTGGATGGGATGGGATGGAACGAGATGGAAAGGGAAGGGAGCACCCTCATCCCCCAACGCACCGTGATATAGGGGTCTCGGAGCTGGAGGCCATAGAGGGTCCAGCTGGAGGAGGCCAGGCAGGTGGTGACGGCGAGGGGGAAGGACAGGCAGCGCGTGGACCTGCTCCGCACCACCCTGGCCTGCAGCAGGACCAGGCTGGGACCGGGCAGCACCGGTGCCACCGCGGCTGCCCGCCCCTCCCCAAAGCACCCCCCCGGCCCCACGCACCAGGTCTGCCAGCGGTGACAGGTACATGCTGATGGTGAAGGCGCTGCAGAAGAGCCCCAAGCGCGCCAGGCGCGTCCGTGCATCCCCCACCACCAGCGTGAAGTAACCGTAGCCCGTGGCCAGCAGCGCCAGCAGCGCCAGGCTCTGCAGCAGCACCGTGCGCTGCGGGGGGGCACCATCAGGGGGACCGTCCCCTCTATGTTCCCCCCCTCCATCAACCCAGGCTGCCCCCCCCCACCTTGGCGGGGCTGTAGTAGAGGTACACCAGGATGTAGAGGGTCTGCAGCGCGGCGCCGATGGCGTTGACGGCGATCAGGGTCCAGTCCTGCTTCAGGCACCCGTAGCCCAACCAGCTGAGGTTGCTGCGGGGCAAAGAGGTGCTTGGCAATGGGGTGCTGCCCCCCCCCCCCGGCATCACTGCGTGCCCCCAGCGCCCCTGGACCCCTCTGTACTTGACATCGGTGGTGAGGAAGGGCAGGAACTGGATGTTCTCCACGCTCCTGGTTGCCAACATCTGCCGCAGGTCGGACCTATGGAGAGCGGAGCGGGGCCGGCTCCTGGGTGCCAGAGCCACGGTCCCTGCAGGCAGCGCGCACCCCAAAACCTGCGCTCCCAACCCTTGCGAACCCCAAACCCCACCAGTGCCGGCTGCACCCCGAACCCCCCTGCACCAGCACCCGATGGAACCCATTACACCCCAACCCTCCCACGGGCGCCCCCCACTGCACCTCTCCCCATAGGCCCCCCAAAGTGGCCCCACTGCCCTCCCCATAGCCCCCCCGCACCCCCAAACTGGCCCCATGGCGCCCCGCTCACAGCCCGGTCCCGAACATGGCCACGGTGCAGCCGATGCAGGCAGCCGCGAGCAGCGGCACCGGGGCCATGCTGGGCCGCGGCACCGGGCACCGGCGGGGGCGGCGCTGCCCGCGCGGGGCGGAGCGGAGCGGGGCGGAGCGGGACGCACTACCGGGGCGGGGCCGAGCACCGGGCGGGGCCCCCCCGCATCGCCCCATGGCGCAGAGGGGCCGCCGGGGAGGGGGGATGAGAACGGACCCCCGGACCCGCCAGCCAAGGACCCCGCATCTCCTCGGGCCGGGAGCCTCCATCAGTGCGGCCCCGCACCCGTCCGGAGCCCATTTGCCAGCACGGGTCCTGCATCCCTGCGCTCCCACCTCCCCAGGAGCCCCCATCCCCGCACCCCTATGGTCACACATCCCTGTGACCCCCATCCCCTCAGCCCTGCACTCCCAGGACCCCCATCCCCAGGGTCACACATCCCTGTGAGCCCCATCCACTCAGCCCTGCACTCCCAGGACCCCCAATCCCCACATCCCTGGGGCCGCACCTCCCCACGACCCCATCAAATCCCTGTAACCCCCAATCCCCACATCCCCGGGGTCACACATCCCTGTGACCCCCATCCCTGCACTCCCACCTCCCCAGGATCCTCAGTCTCCGCATCCCTCGGGTCACACATCCCTGTGACCCCCACTCCCTCCAACCCCACCTCCCCAGCCCCAAGGCCTCACCCTCCCCCCATCCCCATTCCCCTCCTCCCCCCATGGGGCCCTGGCTGCCCTCGGCCCCCTCCGCACCGCCCCAGGCCTGGAAGCTCATCCCAATGCACGGGGAAGGAGGAGAAGCCCCCACCCCCAAGCCCCGGGAGGCTCCGTGTCCGCAGATGCAGCCCAGCGATGGCACCAGCACCGCGGCCCTTTTCCACTTCAAAGCCCTCCCCAAGCACCGATTCACCAGCACAAATGCTCGCCCCAGGGGCCATGGCTCCAGCCAAGGCCAGGCCAGCTCAGGCACAAGGTTTGGGGGCCAGAACCCCCCCAGCCCCACGTTCTCATCGGTCTTGGTTATTTATTCAAGACAATAGTATAAAAACTCCCGTTAGAAAGCTGTACAAACGGGGGTGCACAAAGCACCCACCCTGGGTGGCGCTGGGGGGGGACCCCTCCAGCACCGGGGAAGGTAAAGGGGGGGCATGAAGGATGGGGAAGGGGGATGCTCGCACAGCCCCGCTCTGCTGCTCTCACATCCAGGCTCCCAGCGCCGGGGACACCGAGGGACCGCGGCCCCGCCGGCAGGACACGGTGGAGCCCCCCCATGGTGAGCGCCGGTCCCGGCCCAGGGGAACCAGCCCCGCGGCTCCCCTCCATCCCGGGGCAGCTCCAGCCCCGGGCTCCGGCTCAGCCTCGACGTCCTGCGAGGGCCGGGGGAGCCGGGGGGGGTCCGAGGGCTTTGGCTGCTCAGCTTTGGCTTCGGGCCCTCCAGCCCTCTAATACTGACAAACCCTTCCTCCCCTCGCCCAGACGGGCACAGGGCGGGCGGCCCCGGGGCACACACGAGGACCACGGGGGTCCCCCCCTCTCCGCTGCATCCCAGCTCCATCCCCAGCAGCCGCAGCCTTGGTCCATCCGGGCCCGGCGGAGCAGTCACAGCCCCTGCGGCACCAGGAGGGGCAGGAGGAGGCTGATGAAGGTGAAGGGGCTGCTGCTCCTCATGGCCGAGTTCTGCCCCACGCTCCTCAGCACGTGCGCAGCCGCATCATCTGCGCCACGGGGACAGAGGAGCTGTGAGCATCACCCCCGAGGGAGGCACCGGGACCCACATCACCACCCATGCAGGGCCTGCCACCGGCTCCCATGGGGACAGCAGTGGGGCCCAGCACAGCCCCATGGCCATGGACCCATCTCTGCCCTGCAGGCACCAACCTACCTGCCTGGATCCTCCCCTTCTGGGTAGAGGCAGGGGCCGGTGGTGCCTGAGCTGCAAAGCAAAGGCAGGGTCAGGCTTGTGGCAGCCCCCAGGGACCGTCCCCACACAGCCACCAGCACCGTGTGGGTCCATGCTCGGGTGCCCATAGCGGGGCTGCCCATGACTCAGCGCAGGGATGGGCTGGGATGCAAGGGGGTCCGGGCAATACTTACTGCCTTTGCCAGCCACCATCACCTTCAGCTTCAGGCACGCTTCACCGTGGTGGTGAATGGGCTTGGCTGCAAGGGAGGAGGTGGGTTAGGGATGGGGTGCACCCAGCAGGCCCCCCCACCCCAGCAGCACCCCGGCTCTCACAGATGTAGTAGTAGCTGTGCCCCTCCTTGAACTCCTTGCCCAGCGTGAAGGGGGTGAAGCGCTGGAACTTCTCGGAGAACTTCTCGGGGCCGTGCAGGGCGCTGGGTTTGTCGCATTCCCAACGGATCTGCTCCTTGGAGCGGGGCTTGCAGGCCTCGTACTCCTCGGGCTCCACCAGGTACAGGGTGTAGCGCTCCATGGCGCGGGGGTCCACGCTCCCCTCCTCGTAGTGCGGGCAGATGATGTCCAAGTAGTCGTTGAGCCGCACCTCCACCGTGTAATCGCTCCACAGGAACCTGCAGCAGGAGGGGTCAGCTCCAGGGGGAGAAGTGGGGGGGGGGCCCTTCCCATGCACCCCCAAACCCCCCCCATTGATTCACTAGGCCAAAGGGCAGCAGAGCATCTCTTTCCAAGGGGCAACCTTTGGTCTGCGCATCCCTGGGCAGCCCCACAGGGCCCAGGATGGCTTTGGGAGGAGGAGCCCCCCCCCCAAGAACCCCCATTCCCAGCGCACCCCGGGAGCAGGGATGGGACCTACCCCAGCGCTGCCGGAGCCAGGAGGTGGTGGCAGCGATACCCGTGGGGCAGCCGGCCCGGCTGCAGTGCCTGCTGCTCCCCACACCTCAGCCCGGGGGGGGGTGGCAGCCGCTCAGGGGCCTCGCTGAGGTCCCCTCTTAAAGCACATCCAGCCGGGGGGGGCGCACCCGATACCCCCAAACGCTGCTCCCCGCTGGGGGCAATGCACACACACAGCCCCACATCGGGCCGGGGATGGGGTAACCCCACAGCGCCGGGACCTGCGAGCAGGCGGAGCTTGGGGGGGCCCGTCCCGGCCTTTCCCCCCCCTCCCCGCACATCCTGCCCTGGCGGCAGGAGCCGGGGCCAGCCCCGTGTTTGTCAACAGCTTCCCTGTGCCCCGGCGCCGGGGCTGGCGCCGCGCCACGGCCGCGGGGAAGGAAGAGGCCCCGCTCCCGCTCGGCCTGGGAACGGAAAAGCCCCCCCCGGTCCGCACCTGGGCCGGCCGCGCCGCACCCGCACCCCCCCCTCCTCCCGTCCCGCACCGCACCGGGACCCCGGGCACCTCCACCTTCCCCCGGCCCCGGCCCCGGCCGCGCCGGACAAAGGCCGCCGGGGAGCGCGCCCAGCCCCGGTACGGAGCAGACCGGGTCCGCGCCCTCGGGGCCGCCGGTGGAGGTGCGGTGAAGGGCGGGAGGATCCCCGGTGCGGCGGCACTCACCGGGGGTTGGAGCTGTTCCAGAACACCGTGTGCCGCTCGGCCGCCGCCGCCCAGCACAGCCCCAGCCCCAGCAGGGCCAGCGGCAGCCACCGCCGCTCCATGCGCTCCGCGGGCCGCTCCGCCGGGCGGGCACCGCGCCCGGACCCCGCCTTAAGTACGGCCCCGCCGCCGCCGCCACCGCGCCCGCCCCGCGCCCCGCCCCGCGCACCGGGCGAGACACAACAACAACAGCAGGGGCAGCGCGGGGGGGGCGGCTCCAAGCGCTGCCGGGACCGGGCACCGAGACCCCGGTACCGGCCCGGGGGGGGCGGCATCGCCCCCGTGGTGCTGCGGTACCGGCAGGGGCGGGGGGTGAGGCCCCCGGGGGATGACGGCCCCCCGAGAGCTGTGAGTGGGGTCCCGGTGATGGGGGCACCCTCAGACCTGGCGCCCCAGCCCTCCCCGTGGGCGCCCCCTTATCTGGGGCGCTGGACCCCAAGTGAGCCGGGGGGTGCAGGGGGTGCTAAGGAGGTGCTGGGGGGGGACAGGGGCAGCTGCCCCCATTCTTGCCCTCATCAGCTGCCAGAGCAGCTCTGGGCAGACCCCACAGGCATCCCTTGGTGTTGTTTGCTCTGTATCGCGACATCCCCCCCATTGCCCCCGGTGCGGGGTGAGGGGCTGCAGCGCGCTGGGCAGAGCGGGCGCTCTTTACCCATCTCCATGTGCCCCAGCGCAGATCCCTCCTTGCCCAGCCCTGCAGAGGGATGCTCCGTGGTGGGAAGTGATAACTCAGCCGCATTTGCAAAACAACTTTCCTCTTGTTTATGACATAATGATCCATTGATCGCGGGTAATGTTGCGTGCCCGCCGCCGCAGCCGTGCGAGCAGCGCTCCCCTGGCACCCGCAGGGGCTCAGGCAGGCGCCGGCACCACGGCCCTAACCGCAGAGCAGCTCTTGGCTCCGGCAGCCCAAGGCTCCCATGAGGCCGAGGTGTGGGGCTGCTGCCCCACATCCCCCCCGCACCCCCATGTTCTCCCCACGTCCCAGCCTCTCTCCTGCTTCCCTTTCATCCTGCCTGGCTGCGGCCAGGCCTGACATCATTCCCTGCGCCGCGATGACTCTGCGAGGCCTCCTGCTCCCGGGAAGCTGGCGCTGCCGTGGCTTGCACAGGGGAGCACCTCCCGGGAACACCCCTGGGATCACAGCGCTGGAGCGCGGCACGTGCAAACCACAGGGACCGGCACAGCCGGATGGATGGTGCTGGGAGCCGGTCAGCGCCAGGTCCCGGCATCGCCCCGCTGCTGCCGCCACCACACAGAGACAGGCCTGTGCTGGGGGCTTGTGGAAACTGAGGCAAGCAGCAGCCATGGGGGATCCACACCGGGCCCATCCCCTGGGATGTGGTACCCAGCGCTGCGCAGGACCACCAGCACACAGAGCCAGGTCCCAGCCTCACTGCCCTGCCTGGCCAGTGGCAAGAGTGCGGCCCCACATCGATGGCTGCACTGGGGAGGAAGGACAAGCTCGTGTCCCCTGTTAGGGACAGCCCCAGGGATGAGCTGGGGCTGGAGGGAGCCCTGGTACCTCCCAGCGCTGCATCACTTGGGGCTCAACGAAGGGGGACGAGCCATGGGAGGGACAGGGGTGGGCAAGATCACATAGAGGGTGGTCAGCAGCCCATGCAGGGTGGTACCCACCCACAGCAGCACCAGCGGTGCCGCACACGTGCCTGTGGTCACGGCCGCCCCACTGGTGTGTGCGGGGCAGGGACCGCCCCTGGTGCCCCGTTCACAGGGCGAAGGTGAAGCCGTTTCACACCGGTGCTGGCACCCCCGGTGGCACGGGGCAGGCGGGGCCGGGCAGAGGCCGCCGAGCTCGTGACCAGGGGTTTATGGCCTCTGGTCCAGGAGCGAAGGCCGCGGTGACGTGCGGTGCTGGCTGCGTGCAGCCCGGCAGGTAGGCACAGCCCCGACGCCAGCGCCACGGCCCTGGGGCTGCCCGGCCACGCCAGGCCCTTTCCCTTGGCCGGAGCCAGCAGGATGCTCCCAGCCCTGCCTGGGCAGCACAGATGCTGCCATGGGCTGATGCAAAGGGATGGCCCTGCCGTGCCCAGCCCCCGGTGGGAGCCCCCCCCCCAGTGCCGCAGTTGGCTGCTGCCTGGTCCGGTGCCACGCTGCACCTTGCCTGAGGGCATGGAGAAGGGCAGCCGGTCCCCACCGAGCGGGAACCGAGCCATGCAAACACAGCAGAGCGGTGCCAAGGTCGAGGCGAGCAGCGGGAGGGATGTCGCAAGCAGAGCTCACGGTGCCTGGGTGGCCGTGGCTCCCCTGCTCCCCAACATGATGCACCCCAGCACGGCTGTGGGCTCCCCAAACCACTGCACTGCGTGCCACCGGTACGGCTCCGTGCCACAACAGGGGCTGTGCTGGCCCCCGCCATGGGGTTTGGTCCCTTGGGGATGCAGCCGGACCCCGCACCCATGGCCCCGGGGGCAGGGGCTGGTGACAGCCATGGATGGGGGGCTCCGCAGTGGGGCCGGGCCCGCAGGAGCAGGCAGGGGGGGCCGTGGGGAGCCCGGCGCCTGCCGGCAGCGCCCAGGACCCGTCGGACGGGTTCTCCGGCTCCTCCCGCACCAGGACAAGCCCGGGCCGGCGGGACACGGAGCCACCGCCCAGCAGCGCCGGTGCCGGGGGGGGGAGCGGCCCAGCCTGCACCGTGGGGCACCGGGGCTGCCCTGCACTGCTGGGACCAGGGGTGCTGGCTGCGGGGCTGGGTGCACCCCACTGCTCCCAGGGACACCCCCTTCGGTGGGAGCCCAGCCCTGGGGAGCCCCCTCCCCTCACATCCCCTTCCCTCTGGTGCTGGAGGGCTCGGGGGTGTCCCCATGTCCCCATTGTGCAGCGCGTGCCGCATGCCCCCAGTCCCAGCAGAGCCAGAGGTGCTGGAGGGGGACGGAGTGCGGAGTCCCATGAGGCTCCCGGGCACATTGGGCCTAAGGCCTCTGGCCCCATGCAGCCGGTGGTGATGGTGAGGAAGGTGATGAAGATTCTCCTGCACCCGCTTCTCCCCAGCCATCAACACCCCAGGGACCTGCCCCCAGCGTGGGGGCCCATGGCCACACACTGCCCTTACCTGCAGGTTGTGTCCATGCTTCCATCTGCAGGCAGCACCCATGGATGCTCCATGCCTGGGGGTCAATGTGAGGGCAATGTGATGCCCCCCATGTGCCAGAGGCGCTGAGCCCATGGTGACGGCACCCACCGCGATGTGACAGGGGGTGGTTTTTTTATCCTTTTATTAGGTTTTGTAATAGACTAAGAGCAGAATATGAAAATCACCAGCCAAAGCACTTGAAAAAAAGGTTCAGACTGTTTGTTTTTTTTTTGTTCTGTTTCGGTTTCTTTTGTCCCCAAAAAGTGTCTGTGCGTTTGCATAGGTCGGGTCTTCACGGAAGACGAGGAGAATCCAACACGTTCGACTATGTACAAGCCAGCCCGGGGCCAGCACCGCTGCCTATGGTACAGTGTAGATATATCTCTATAGTCGCTCTCTGTACAGTATGTATAGACTCTATATAGGTATGTACAGGCTGCCCAGCCCTGGGCACCGGCAGGACGGTGGCAGTGGCCGGTGCAGCACCGAGCCGCATCCCCGCCGCTGTGGCCGCATCCATCGGGAAGGGTGGAAGCGCCCGGCGGGATCGGGCCCTGCCCCGTGGGCGGCTGTGTGGGCAGGGGGTGGTGGTGCAGAGGGGACGGGGGTCCCCGCTGGCTGTCAGCAGGCTGGGGGGCCCCCGTTGGCACCGGGAGCTAGGAGGCCAGCAGCGTCATGAGGAAGAGCGCGGCAGCCACGGCCAAGGGCAAGTGTTCCCGCTTGGGGCTGGTGCCGCTGATGCTCTTCTCCAGCTTGGGCATCTCCGGGTTGAAGTTGTCTGTGGGGAAGAGCAAGGAGAGGGTGAGGGGGGCATTGGGGCGGCCCCAAACCCCTCACCCCATGGCTGGGGCGCCCCCACGGGTGGCGGTGGCGGGGATGGGGGGGGGCACAGACACGCGGCGCGGTGGGGCCGGGGGGCTCTGCTGGACTCACCCAGGTCCTCGATCTTCACCTCGGGCCGCAGGGTGAACTGCGGCAGCGTGGGCACCGGCTTGTCCCCGGCGTGCGACGCTGCAAGAAGGAGACAGGGATGGGGACGGGGATGGGGATGGGGACGGGGATGGGGATGGGGATGGGGATGGGGACGGGGACGGGGATGGGGACCATGCTCCCGGCCGCCTTCTGCCACAGCGCCCCCCGGGGGGGCCCCGCCGCCCCCCGCAGCCCCCAGGCACTTACTGGAGGCGCAGCACACAAACACCTTCATCTTGAGGCAGGCGCGGCGGTGGTTGTGCGTCGGGGTGGCTGCAAGGACAGAGCGGGATGTGGGGGGGGGGGCTCCACCGAGGGTGACCCCAGCCCCGGGCACCCGCAGTGGGGGGACGCTGGGATGGGGTATGGGGGGGGGGGGGCTGACCCTGCCTGGGGTGAGCCCTGGGCTGGGGGGAGGCAGCAGCCGCATCCTGCACCCCCTGGAGTTAAACCTGCAGCAGTGCCCTGCACCCCCAACACCCCCATCCTGCACCAGCACCCCCAGAACCCCCATTCTGCACCAGCACCCCCAGAACCCCCATCCTGCACCAGCACCCCCAGAACCCCCGTTCTGCACCGGCACTCCCAGAACCCCATCCTGCATTAGCATCCCCACAGCACCCCCATCCTGCACCAGCACCCCCAGAACCCCCATTATGCACCAGCACCCCCATTCTGCACCAGCACCCCCCAACACCCCCATCCTGCAATCCTGCACCAGCATACCCCAGTACCCCAATTCCGCTCCCCCACACCCTCATCTCTCCCCATGCCCCATCTCACCCCTTCATCACGACCCCCTCCACACCCCCAACTCTCCCCATACCCCATCCCTTAGCCTGGGGCACCCACTCCCGCGGTACTAGTGGGGGTTTGGCTAGGATGGGGATGCAGGAGGGCTCATGTGGGTGCTGGGGGGGTACCTACAGATGTAGTAGTACTCCTGCCCGGCGCGGAACTCGTAGCCCAGCGAGAAGGCGCTGTACCGCTGGAACTTCTCCGAGAACTTGATGGGGCTGTGGGGCGCGTGGGACCGGT